CCCAATCTGTCACTATTAACAACACAACACAAACTACAAAGAACCAAGTGCTTGGTTAAGGGGTCACTCGCAAGCAAGTGAACACAGTTCCAACACTGCCACAGATGCTAAGAAGGAACTGAAAGTGTCAGGTCAGCAGGGTCATATATTGAGTGCTATGAAAGCACCATTCCAGAGGCCTGAGGCCTCCTTAGTTTACTCAATGGGAGCTGCTAAGAGAAAAAATGTCCAATGACCGTGCACATGTGATTGGAATCTATGTGAACAAGCACTCTGTGATAGATAGTCTGCTGACCAGTACTCCGTGACTAAAGGGTTAAACTCAGGTAGCTAGCAAGGATGTTGGCAGGGGGCAATTAGATACAGTGCTGAACTCAGATTTGGATATAGATACCTGGCCTGCTCTTCCTTTGTGTCTTCTAAGCTAAGGGCTGGAGGGAGCAGATGCAGTAATCAGAATTATCATTCCTATAAGAAATACTGGATGTGGGACTGAATTATGCCTTGAAGTATGGATCGGCATGGAACATGAGTGAAGGGGAAAAGTGTATTTAGTTGCTATCAGGGGATTTTTCTTTGTTTTAGTTGTTTGGTTAAACTTCTCTTTGTAAATCTATGCCTTCCTCTCCCATTCATTATCTAAGAGTGTACCCAGAGATGTTATGTGTTTTAATTTGTTTTACTCAGTTGCTCTGTAACACCTAGCAACCAAGTATGCTTTATCAACTATATCTTTTCTGTTTTATTAATAAAAACACCATTTTTAAGATGATTTGAATATTGTGTAACAGGAGAGGGGTGGTGTGTGTGTCTCTCTCTCCCACACACACACTCACAAACTGGTCAGCTACCAGAGACTGCAGTTTATTTTTTCAAGCTCTCATGGTAAAGGAGATTGGGGGAGGGTTCTTTTGTTCCCCTCGCCCCCCAAAAAAGTTGGCAAATCTGTGACTCTGGGGAGTTTTTGTAAGCAGAGCCTACAGAAGGCAAGGTATTTAAGGTTGAGTGCAAAAGATAGGGGACTGCAAGAGGAATGCCAGAGTGGGGAACAGCCCTGACACTCAAAATGGAAACTAAGTTTTCACAGTTAAAATATTAAATGACCTATAGCTCCTTCTATCCACCCTAACTCTCTATGTTAAATTGCAATAGTTTTTTTGCAAGATAGACTAGAGAAATTAACACACATTATTTAAAAGCTCTCATGTGACCTAAGAAATGAGTACTATATTTACAAATGTTGTCACAAAAGTTTATTTGCAGTTTAGCTTAAAATAGCTTCTGGATGTGTGGCTTTAACTACAACAGCATCAGCCTTATTGTATTGGTGTCACAGCCATGTTACAAATACTTTATTAACTGGTAAAATTTCTTATTTATAAGAATAAGCCTAAACGAACACATTTAAAGCTATCAAATAGATTGACATACTCTGTTCTGTCTCCATCCCCACGCAATGCAAACTGTTTTAAGGGACATCGCAAAGAAATTTGGTTAGGAAGTTGGTTTCATTTTCTTTGTATTTAATCCTCAGTGTGATGGGTCTGCGGCAACCTGCACTCAGGCTGGCCCGCCCCCTACCAGTTTCCTAGAAGGCAGGGGAAGCTGCCAGAGACGAGAAACGGCACACAAGTGGCCAGCGCAAGGCCACTGGCGCACCGCCATTGCAAGTGGGGAGTGGGATACACGGGATGGGGTGTGGCACGCTGGAACGCCATGCCATCCCTGACATCAGATGTCAGGACGTCCCCAGCGTCAGCGGGCCCATACAAAAGGGCAGCTGACTGGGGCAGAAGGGGACGGGCCCAGAGGGAAAGGACAACAGTGAGAGGCTGGCAAGACTGGAGATGCCGACCCGCGTGACCTTCGTGTACCCCGATGACCCAATGAGGACCACCCCCAACATAGGAGAAGGAGGAACCGCTCCAAGCCTGATAGGACCCCCAGCTGAGGTAACAGGGGCAAGAAGCAGCGAGGGGGGTAGGAAGCAGCCCAGGCAGGACAATATTGGCACCCGTGGACTGATGAGTTCCGGGAGACACCCCATCAGCAAACTCCTACACCTCATGGCCCTGGGCTGGGACCCAGTGGAGAGGGAGGGCTTGGGTCCCCCTAACCCTCCCCTCACAAAGGGAGATATCTAGACTACGGAAACAGGACCGGAAAGGCATAGGGAACTGTAGAGACAGGGGGCTGCAGCAAGTAGCCATAGCCCACGGGACAATAAAGGATAGTGTAGCAGTCAGACCCATCACCCAAAGACAGGTTCAAGGCCTAGGAGATTTAAAAGTTTCTCACCCCACCTGCCAAATAAATAAAAAATGGGGTGAGGTACATGAAGCGGAGCATCCTTCTAATGAGAGAGCCAAGATAGAGGAGGTAATCTCTTTACTGGACCAAATTCCTTTGATAGATCCTCGCCCAGCTTGTCACTCTTATATCCTGGGATCCATGGTACAGCGACAGTACATAAATCCTTCTAACGCAGGGATGGTCAATAATTTTGATGGGGAGCCATTCAAAGGTTTTGATAAGTGGTCAAGGGCTGCACTTTTCTATGGAGAGGGTGTGGAATCTGGGACCAAGGTTGGGTGGAGAAGGGAGCTCAGTGTAGGGTACTGGTGTGCAGAAGTTTGGGGGGGGAAGTGAGAGTTGAGACCTGGGGCACGGAGTTTGGGTGCTAGAAGCAGGCTCTGGTTGGGAGATGCTTACCAAAGTGGCTTCCAGCTAGCAGCCCAATAAGACCCTGTGCCAGGCTCCCTGCTTGCCGCAGCCCCAGAGCTCAGAGCAGCTGCTGCATGTGCCTCTCTGCTCCGCACAGCTGGGGGGAATCTACATACACTGCCCATGCTTCCAGCACAAGCTCTCGGCTCCCATTGGCTGGTTCCAGCAAATTGGAGCTGAGATTTTGATAGTGGCAGGGGCAACCAATGGGAACCAGCCAACAGGAGCTGACCGACTATTCTGGGGACAGGGCAGCATGCAAAGGTTCTCCCGCCCTCCTGTGCAGGGAAGCACATGGAGCAGCCACTCTGAGCTGCTTCTTGCCCGAGGGTCCCAGTGGGGTGGCCGTGGGTTGGACTGAAAGGCTTTTTGGGCCATATCTTGCCTCCCCTGAGCAAAGAAGTTGCTCCTCTTAATGATTTAAACATAATAAAATACCAATAAAATCGACTCCACTATTTCACAACAGAGCCCCATTTGTCACAATAAATTGGAACCAGGACCAGACCAGACCATCAAAATTCAGATATTCAGGAGAATAGGGAAGTGCAAGGCTGCAGCACCATCCAGTGGCCACAGGAGGTTGTTGGGTTAACATGAAAAGCTTTGCAATAGAAAGTTGTCTATTCCAGTGGCTCCCAACCTTTTTTATACTGCGGACTAGCAAGCCTATTCAAAAAGTTTTGGCAAACTGGTATAGAAACATCTATATATTTATTATGGTAATTTATTTGTATGTTCAGTATTGTGATTAATTGTAAGTGGTCACGTGTTATTTTGCATTGCATCAGCATGCACATAATAAGGGAACCACGGGAAGATGGAAAAGGGAAGGGAAAGGGAAGAAACTGGAAAGGAGCGCAAGCAAAAGAAGGGACCAAGCCAGAGAGAAGCTGTGCTGAACGTTGCAGGGCACTGACTCCGGCTTGGACGGCTTCTCCTGCCTTGTCCCCTCAACTACCCCAGCTACCAGGCTAGCAGCAACCCCTGCTCAGCCCCAGCTGCCCTACCAGGGGGTCCCCGAGCTAGCCCCCAGGGCTCAGAATGGCTGAGTGGTGAATGGTCCCTCTGTGTGCACGCTGGCTGAGCTAGAAGAAGTAGAGGCCAGGGGGAGGCTCCCACCAAGTGGGAAGTGACCAGGCTCATACACAGGACTTTCTGTGTGGGGATGTGGGTTTTTTGTAAATGTGGACTGCAATTTTTTTTTAAATATAAAGAAGTTTAAAATAGTCATGCAATGAGTATGCATAAGAGAGGTTAACGAAATATTTGAGTGAAAACAGTGATTGGTAAAATGATTTTGTTATAATATACTAAACATTTATACAGTAATAAAGATTTTATAAATTACAAATCATTACCATTATAATTTATCATTTCGGCCAAAACCCTTTGGATGCGAGAAGCGATTGATCATAAATCCTGCAGGGGACATTTTGATGCCGGAGGGGTCGCCGGCAGCGCCAGCGTGGGCAGGAGGAGAACAGGCTGGGCCGGGG